TCTGTTACAACTTTTCCTGAGCAAGTTTTCCTTATGACTGCAGTGAGGTGTGTTGCCTTGGGTGGAGAATCCCTGAAGGCATCATTTCATGTGCTATTTTTTTTAAATATATGCCTTTTTGGGCATCACTTACAGGCTGTTGTGAAGGCTGAACCCTTTATGTTTTAAGCCCTAAATGCAGGCAATTTGGGTCTTGCTGCCGAGTATTCCAAGAATCTGGAATTCCTTTGCCTGCCCATCTGAGTTGCAAGACCTCGTTGCAGTGGACATCAGGTTGGAGGAAGGCATCAACAGGCAGGCCTGCCAGCAAAGCATGTATTCATCCCTGAGCACGTGACCCCGTAGGCCTCATTCCTATTCATGCTTAGACAGAAAAAAGTCCTAAAACTCCCAGCATTCCCGGCCAGCGTGCTGGGAGATGCAGGACTTTTTGTGTTTGCCCCTGATAACTGTGTTTCTGTATTTTCAAAGAAAGTGGACCTCCAAGATCTCCTTTACTCTTTCCTATTAGCATTTCAAATTCAGAAAAAGCAACCAAAATGAAATGTGCACACTCCCCCTACACCCACACAGATGGCTGTGCGCATTTATTCTAATAATCAAAATGTACTTCTTTGACACATTTGTCCAACGAAAAATGACTTTTAAAAGAAGCATTCAAAAGAATAATGCTCTACCTTCTCAATTCATTTTTCTCTGGGAGGAGGAGGAATACTGTCTAAATCAGCCTGATCGTTCTTTTTGTCAGGTTGGGGATTTTATATTTTAATTTTTTAAAATGACTCTTTTCAGGTTTGTCCTCAATGCTAGGCAAACTAAACTGTGTAGATACTTAAACGATTTAACACATGCAAATAGCAATTGTCCCCTTCCTGCCCCTTTTTCTGTCCTGTGGGTTGGTAACTCTGTGAGGAAGCTAAGAAAATAATCACCGCAAAAGAAGAGACACAACCCATATTACAGTAATGAAGGGTAGGTAAGCACCTGAGGGCAGGAATACAGCAGCGGAGTGGTACAGTTCAGCCCCACTTCAGTAGAGGCAGTCAAAGCATTCAATTAAGTACTGCCCAAAAGTTGAGTCCTCCTCTCACAACTTTTAAAGCATTTCGGTATGGGAGCTTGCAATTCTCAGCTATGTTGGTGGCTCAGAAAGGGCTGCCACCTTTTTTGCTTGCTGGTGCTCCTATGCCTTTAAGATAGCAAACAGACATCAGATAGGAGGCTGATGCAATGTTTCCTGAAAGTGGGACCGAAGCAACATTAATCAAAAGGCACTGTGCATTCTTCCATCTTTCTCTACTTGGCTGTTTTTTTCTGGTGGCAAAAAGACCCAAGAAGAAGCCAGGGGGAAACATGAAAAGATTATATGGGGAGGGTGATGTTGCTTGCACGCCTCCTCAAACCCCATGTTTGAGGAAGGGTGGCTGCAGGATAAAAGCATCAGGCAGAAGCATCCATACATTTCCTTCTCCCCAGTCGCCATTTCACAGAATGTCTGACAAGATTAATTTCCACCTGCCGTAACAGCAGAGGATAAGAGTCAGTCATTTTTAAAAACAAACCAAAACCCAAAACAAGGCAACCCTCAGTTCAGGTTACAGAAGGCAAAGGAGGTCATTATGCCAGCCTACCTCACTCAGGGTTAGATTTGCCGGGGCTGACCCATGCCTGCCCCCTCTTCCATACAGTCCGACTCCATGCGCAAAGCCACGACTGGCACGCCAACTGTGGCAAGAGATGGCGTTCCCTGCACCACCCGAGGGCAGCGAGCTCGCCTTGGGAGCACGGGGGGGCCTGTGGGTGGCACGCGCAGCTACGTCCGTAAGCACATCACCCCTCTCCCGCCCCCTTGCATCTGCGGAGCAAGGGCCCCCTTGGAGGTGCTGCTCCTCACCCACCCAGCAGGTATCCTGAGCTTTGTAGGACCTGCCCATGGAGCTGAAATCCGCTCCCCGCAGCCAGGTTTGCTCCTACAAAACTCAGAATAAGTGCTGCACTGGATGAAGAGTCCCGCCACAGAGACGCTGGGGACGCTGTGCCTTAGAATGACCTCTCCAACCTCTCCCGCTGCCTCCTGAGCTGGCTGCCCCACTCTGCCCCATGGTGGAGCTGGCCCTCAGCCCTGCCCCGTGGCTTTAGGTGCAGCCTGATGTGGAGCAAAGGGATGGGGGAACTTGGCTTGCTGAGATGTCTGTGCCAGAGGTCTGTGAAAGGCACAGAGAGCCGGTGAAGATAAAATAAGGCCACCCAACCTGAAATGCCACCACTGCACTCCTGTTTATTTTTAATGATGAGTTTGTGTTGCTGTGAGGAAAATGGGTCAGGAGCATGAGTCTTCAATTATTATGGTGTGCTACTGAGTTACTTTTCCTGCAGTAGCAATTTTACGCCCACTTACCTACGAGTAAGCCCCACTGAGTGGAACAGCTGGCCAAAATGTGGAGTCTCTGGTGTCCACATTCATCAAAAAGCGCTTCCCGCCCTCACAAGCCAGGGAAATTGGGGTGCAGCTAGTTTTCATTAGAGACATAGAAAGGTGTAAAAAAGAGAGGAAGAGAGACTTTCTCCTTCTGGAAATCATTTCAAGAAGAACATATTCTCACAAAAGTTCCATACAGCTCCAAATGCATTAAGCTTTTTTCAAAACACAACCATTGTTCAGTCCATAGCACCTTGGGAAATTTTCCGTGCATTTTTGCCATGAATTGATGCTGCTTTTTGTTTGAGGGGGCTGTTCGAAACACACCAGTTGAGCAAGCCAAATGAGGCTCATTTCTGGACTAATGGGGGGGGGTGCCCCTCTCCTAAAGGCCTTTCAGGCATCCCTGGGGCTTGAGGGGAGGGGGTGTCTCCTGCAATAATGGCTCGGGGAGAGGAGCCAAGAAACAGGCAACTAGAGCTGGCACCCCCAGAAGGGAACTTGATGGGTGACCAGGCAGGCTCAGTGGGAAGGGCTGGGCTGCAAAGATGCCCATCAAGAGCCCCTGGGCACAGAGTGAACACGGCAGACCAGTCCCTGGTCACAGTCTTGCACACCAAGGGGAGGGCACTCTGCATTTCTATTTATATTGGGATCACGATTTCTAAGGGTGCATTTGTGCATCTTCGTTATGCACATGGTATGCAAATTGGGATCCTCTTTTGCCTTCTTTGTGGGGGTGATGTATGCCTTCTTTTTGTGTTGGCGATTCAGAAGTGGACACCTAATGCAGCCCCTTCAGGGATGCCAGGCAGATTCTATTGGAAGGTGCAGCTCCTCAGGGTCCTCAGTAGCAAATGGATATAACACCAGTGGCGGCCACTTCCTCACATGTTGCCCACATGCTCTGCCTTCTTAAGGCATTTGTAAAGAAATACAAGGAAAAACTGGGTTTGATTAGGCATGGAGGATTAAACTGGGACCAACTGTGGCTTTGCAGTGGAGCAAAGGGGGAACAATACAGTTCTTTCCTTTTTAACGGGAGATCACCCCTGGCTGCTCTTTAGAAGGCCAGATGCTGAAGATGAAACTCAAATACTTTGGCCACCTAATGAGAAGGAAGGACTCCCTGGAGAAGAGCCTAATGCTGGGAACAATTCATGGCAAAAGGAGAAGGGGACGGCAGAGGATGAGGTGGCCAGATGGAGTCACTGAAGCAGTTGGTGTGAGCTTAAGTGGACTCCGGGGGATGGTGGAGGACAGGAAGGCCTGGAGGAATGTTGTCCATGGGGTCGCGATGGGTCGGACACAACTTCGCGACTAACAACAACAACAACTAGAGACACATCGTAGGCAACTTGGGAAAAGCAAAAGGCAGGGAGCTCCACTGGCAGCCAAGAGCAGGATCCTTTTGGCATATATTCTACAGGCGGCAACGGATTGGATGGTATGATCCAAGTGCCATTGCCTAATGGCACAGAAGGAAGTAAAAGGCAATGAGGGCATCATCTCTCGCACGCCACTGAAATTAATGGGAGCTGCCGGAGAGAGTCCCTACAAATCCCGCTCATTTCCGCAGGGCTTGTGCAGAAGAACTTCACAACAGAAGGGTGGCAGCCACGGACGGTTCTGCTTCCTTCTTCTCCAGTCCTGGGCCATTCTCTTGTGTGCACAAAAAAGGGAGAGAACTACTAGAGTCGCTGCATCTCCATGCAGTTGTTATGCAGGTTTTCGTGAAACCGCAGGGGAGTGGGTGCTCTGACCTTCTCTGGGCCTCATCCTTGGAAGAGCAAAGAGATAGCGGCCGGCCCTGCACCTTCATTTGTGGTGATACTGTGCTGCCCCCAGAGGGTCATGTGGACTGGAAGCACCTCCAGCATAAGCAAAATATGGACCTCTCACTCTCCCCACATGCACAAAGCAAACAGGTCCTCCTCTTGCCTACCTCTGCAACAGTCCTTGGCACTCAGTTCCTGCACCCATCTGCTCCTCACAGGATCTCTTGTTCTCAGATCCCCACCTGTTCATCTAGGACAACATTCCCTGCTCCCTGCTCAAAACACTGATCTGTTCAGAAAGAGAGTTGGAGGAAACGAGCAGGAAACTTGATTGGACATCAGTCTTCCCCCATCTGGTGGCTGCCCCCAGTGTTTTGGACTACTACTCCCATCAGCACTGCCTAGCATAACCATAACTGTCAGCATGACCATAGGAGTTGTCATCCAAAACATCCGGTGGGTGCAGAGTAGAGGAAGTTGGCTGTTTGACATACTAGGAAATGAGTTCTGTCTGTCCCTCACTATCCACCTCTGGAGAGGCACTTGAATATCAGGAAGGCAGCTGCAGGCAGGCGCGTGAAAATAAAAGGCAAAGCAGGAAACTGAAGATGGCAGTTCCCATCATCACTGCCTGTCCCCATCCCCCGCACACACAACTGTTCGCTCAGTCACCCAGGAACAAACACCTTTCCATTTTACAAGGCAGGAAGACAACTAGACACCTACACTCTAGTTTTCAAGAGAGGGCCAAAGTGCCCGCTGGCTCTGTGCAATTCCACAGAACGGAAAGGGAGTGGATTTACCTTGCCGGATGGAGACGTATCTGCCATTGGAGGCCAAGAAAACTACTTGTGGGTGGCTCTCTTCCAGATCAAAGAGTTCGTCTTTGCCTGGCTTGGAACTCCTGCCAGATTTTAGAGTGCCTGTAGGTCCCATGGGCGCCAGGTATTTCCCATCGCAATCCTTGAAGGCCAGCTTGCCTGCTTTGAATTCTAGGGTGTAGCCTGCACGGGGGTCAGGTTCCTTGATCAGGGTCCCATCGTTGCGTAAGTAGCGGTTGTCGCAGGTCCTCAGGCAATACTTCTTGTTCTGGAAGGTGAGCGTGATGAGTGAGTCCACACCCCAGGGGATGTTGCTGTCAGTCGCGATCTCATCCTCCTGGGCACTGAGATGCGCGTATCTTCTCCTGCTAACACTCAAGAGGTTTGCTTGGGGGTGGATGGCCAGGTGTACTGCCCAGAGCTCGGCTTCAGTGATAGTTTGGGCAAAGCAGGATAACTTGTCCTCTGAGCCGCCAAAGAAACGCTTGTAGGGTTCAGACTGGAGTGCCCAGCGCCCATCCGATTGAGTGACAATGATAAAACGCCCATCACTTCCTGGCTTCTCAGCTTCACCTGAGACCTTGCCATCCTTGTCAGCAGACAGGTATCTACCCAGGTGGCTCTTCAGGAAGACCACAGAACTGTCTCCATCCTGTTCCAGGGTCCATATCTGCTTCCTTTTCAGGCTGGGCGCTGAGGCGTTGACCTTGTAGCCAAAGCTCTCTGCTGTTAGATATCGGTTATCAGAGTTGATTAAACCAAACTGGATCTTCAGGACCTGGTGGATCCCATTTGTTGGCATTTTCTGTCCAGAAAGCAAAGAGCCCAAGAGACTGGATGAAAGCCTAGGTTTTCCCCGTCCTTCCTCGGGTACAAAAATGTGTGCCTACATATGCACAGCCTCACAATTGAGCAATCTGGATTAGCACAAATGAACCTTCCACCTCAGCCAAAGCCACCGTGACGCGCAACTGCCCCAGTTCTTGGTCTCTCTCCGCACCACCAGCTCTTCCTTCATTTAATCTGCATCCCATAAAGCCAATCTTGTTTGGCGGTCTCTTCCCCCCTGCTGGCAGCACTGCTGCCTCCTGTGCGGCTCACGCTGACCTCTTCCTCCTCCGCCTCCTCGCCTTCTCCAGCATGGCAGGGGTGGGGGGAGAGAGAATGCTCAGAAAATGTGCACGCTCAGGCGCTGCGGTCTTGCTTAATTAGCACAGCTAGGATTACAAAGCTTTCAGTGAGCTGCCAGCCTCCTGTAACCAATAGTGGGGCTTCTGCATGAGCCACAAAGAAAGGGGGCTTGACAGGCTACCGCATGGCCTTCTCCAGCGCCTGCCTGCCTCTCCATCTCGGTGCTGCTCCACACCGTGTCTGTGGCTCTCGTGCCCTCGCAGCCCTTCTGCTGCTGCTTCTACTGCTTAGCTGGACAGAGCCCCAACTCTTGCTTCACAACCAAGGCCAAAAACTTGCCTGGCAACCCGATCCACCAGCTTCCCTTGCCAAATCCCCTGGTGGAGGATTTAAGGCCTCTTTGCACCTGGGTAAAGTTACAGAACTCTCTGATTCAGTGCGGTAGGTCACCTCTGAGCTGAATGCCTCCTCGAACCAGCCTCTAATCTCCTTAACAATTAGCTGGGCATTTCTATTAGTGTAAACCTTTGATCCTCCTTTGGCCCCTTTGGCTCCATCTGTCCCATAGCCCCCAGTCCACAGCTCTGTTAAAAGGGATAATTGCAAAGTGCCTTGAAGCCAGTGAAATGGCCTAGCAAGAATTGAACCAGGGTGGGCAAGCAGGCAGGCAGGGAAAAGGAGCCAGCCAGGGCTGCAGCCCTGGTTGGAGAAATGCTCCTGGAAGGAATGGAGATTTATTTTAAAACAGTAACTTGCAATCTGAGACAGCGGAGGCCACACCAAGCAGTTTGGCTGCCTGTTCACTCGCTCTTGCTCTCCCTCTCCTGTCATGGCTACACAGCAGATATTTTCAAGTCCCATCACTCGGCACTGTTCAGCCAGAGAGAGGCCAACATATGGGAGGGTGTGGCTGATGATGCCGCAGCCGACAGTCAGCAAAAACGGGGCTGGAAAAGAGAAGCTAGCAGACTACGAGGGCCTGATGGTTGTGAAACAGGCAGGAGAGAGAACCAAAGTGATTAGAAAAAACTGTCCTAGGATGTTTCCAGGGGATTCTGCAGCTCTGCTTCCCTCTCCAAGCAGTATGAGACCACCAGCATAGGGGCACTTTACAACGGCTTGGATCCTAACTCCCCTTCTGCGGATGCCTTTCCCGCGTCCCCTTTTCCTTCTCTCTACAGCCCTTTGCAGCGCCTGAAAATGTGCTGGGTGGGGGGGGGGCAGGGGTAGCAGTCCTTGGAAATGTCAGCAGATATTGGGGGTGGGGGGTGGCAGAGGTGGTACCTGGTAGAAATCACCTCTTCCTTTACACAAGTGGAGCAGCAAGTGAGCATCCCGGACAATTCTGTGCAAACAGAGCCATTCCTCAGCAGATGGCACTTGCTCAAGGGGAAGCGTCGGGTTCCTGGTCCGGGCACTGCATGAGCCAGAATTGCAGGGGCCACGTTGCAGGGAACCCTCCTGGCATGAGGGGCCTCCTGGGAGCTGCATGAGTCTTCCCTGAACAGCACATGTTGTATAAGGACATCCCATCCCATGTATTTCCAGCCCATCCAGGAAGAAGAAAAAATGGGCTCACAGAGACGTGAGCCATGCGGTGCCCCTCTGCTGCAGCCCCTCCTTGAAAATCTTTCAAACTGAAAAGCAAGCTATTAATTATATAAATAAATGCACGAACACAACTCTCCTGGAGAGATTTTGTTGTTGCTTTAGGGCACAGGTCCTCACAGGAACCATGTTGTCATCCATGCAGATCCTCCAGCAGGACCACAAAGGTATCTGACTCCTTTATAATTTAATTTTTAATAAATGACTTGAGCATTAGGGCCCCCAGCTCTCCTTCCTGTCCCTGAACCTGCAACTGATCAGCTGTTCAGTGGACAGGAAGGAGGGACAGCGTTGCTTCTGGGGCATAACCAATCTTCTTTTGTCCATGGAGACCTTTCCCCTTCTGTTCTCCCTCCCTCCCTCCTGCTCTACTCCTAGCCTCTGGCCTCACTATTTCTCTCCACCCAATCTCCTTTCCTGATATTTCGGTCTCTTCCTTGACCCTAGCTGTCTGCTTTCTCTCCCTTCCTAGTTCCCAGCTTTGTTCCTTCTCTCCCACTCAACGCTTTACCTTGCTATTTTTGCCTCCCAGGCTCACTGTTTCTCTTCCCCCACAACCTCTCTTGACTAACCACATCCTCCACGATAAACATTTTGTTCTGGTACCCAAACAGTTCTTCATATTAACAAATGTGCCCATGGGTCCAAAAAGGTTGAAAATTCCTCCTCCGGGATATCCTTTGCAACGTATCTCTTAGTAATCCCCCTCAGGAGATCTCCATGTCCCCCAGAATTCAGCTACATGCCTGCCACTGTTCATTCTCGTTCTGTGGCTGCCCATTCAACATTTTCCAAGCTGAAAAATGGAGGAGTCATGTATCTTTTGTTAATCTAGCTTCTCTTAATTCAAAACAACAACAACAACAACAAAATAGTTATTAATAGCCAAATATCATGGAGCCTGCAAGGGAGTATTCCACGCTCCCAGCCAGCCAGCCAGCCAGCCCTCTTCCAAGATATACCATTCCATCCCCCTGCCCCACAGCCATCTACCTTCTGTGCTCGCTGTCCTCACTGGGTTGATGTTGCTGCTGCTTCTCCCTTTGAGGGCCCCTCACCACACAACTGTTTTGTATCTATGCAACAGAAGCACAGGGTTCCTCTTATCTGTACCTCATCTGTTTATCATGTTGCTCTCTCTCAAATTCCTCCACAAAACCTACTTCTTCCACAAGGTCCTCCTCAGGCCCAGGGGTGGCCAGGACATTTTGCCATCCTGAAGTGGCTACACCGCAATATCTCTGTGCTGTACGATCCTCTCTGGAATTGCAAGAGACCCTGGGATGCAACTCTTGGATTGCCCACTATGCCTCAAAATATTGCCCGACACAGCAGACAAAGAGGGTGTTTTGCAAAAGCCCTGCCTGGACCTTCAGTATATCTAGCAGTTCTGACCTATCTGCTATTAGCTTCCACCCTGCACAAACCTGCCACCTTCTAGGTAAGCTAGGATATAACTCTCCCTGAAAAGCACAGTCAGTCACCTTGCCATGAAGGGCAGATGGGAGCTGTAGTTCAACAAAATATTGAGGGTGCCGGGTTGGGGGAAGCAGGGGTTTCCTGCTGTTCCCAGAGAGGTAATTGCATTAGCAATTTGCAATCTCCCCGCCCTGCAAAGCAAAGGACCTTTTCTCATCTTGAAGACTAGCACCCTTATTATGGTATGAGGCAAGCTTTTACAGAATGGAGAAGGGTTGCTAATCCAGGGTTGCTCCTCATCTATCGCAGCATTTCTTTTGAGCTTTATAAGAGCTATCCATGATGTGGAACTCCAGCCCAAAAAATAGGTTCGCCTCCATGGAACACCATAGATAAAACCTAAAATGAAAGTCCCTCTCACCTACAGGTCACCGAAGCCTCCCCTGGACGGGAGACCAGCTAATCATCTGCATTTGATGAAGAGGCCTTTGTTAATAATAGCTTATGCCATGCTAAAATGTGTAAATCCTTCTTGGTACTTTTTAAAACCCTCTCCTCTGCCACTGCCTTCATACCACCCATATTATTAAATAGAAAGCTGCCTGGATGAGTTTCCTTGCCATTGCTGTGTTCTGAATAGCATCCATTATAGTGCTGGAGTCACAAAGTGTATTGATATCAGATGTGTAGGCTGGTTTGCAGCAGTTACGTGGTTAAGCAATGAGGCCAGGCACTATGCTCCAAAGATTCACAATAAGGCATACGCCTCAGATAGGGTTGCCCTTGAGAAGATCTCCGCCATGAAAACCGAAATCAGTTGGGTGCCAGTTTACTTCTCATGGCTTCCCCTGAAGGATCCTGGGAACTGTAGACTGCGGAAGGTGGTAAATGCTCCCTGACAGAGTTCCCTGATCCCTGTCACACAATTAAGGACTTGAAGGAACAAGGAAGTATTAAACCAGATTAGGAATGTATTATAGATATGCCTGTGCAGGCTTCCCGAGACTCAGAAATATCAACAGCAGCAGTAGCAGCAACATGGAGCTTCCAAACAGGGGACTTCTAGCAGACTACAGCAGATTCTTTTGATGGCTTCCCCAGGGCAGTCGATTGACAGGCAAAGTTGCCTGCAGGGGCACACAGAGGGGAGGAAGGGAGAGATCACGCCTGCCGGCCCCACTGTGGCCTCCCACGTGTCCTCATCTGTATAACCCATGAAAGAGCATGTGCAGAGCAGCAGGGGATATTTGGACCGTGGGAGAAGCTGCGTCTTTGAGATGGGTCTTGTCTAGGCAGCCAGGCATCCTTGCAAAGCTCACCCTTCATATATGCATGTAAGGGACACAGCTAGAGTGATACAGGAGATCTTCGACTTCTAAAATGACTACCACCGCCTCTGGGACAATTGGGTTTGGCAGCAACACCAGAAGGGCGTGTGTGAGAGATCTTTCTCCCCATGTTGCATTTTCCGAATCAGAATCTGCCCTCCCTACAAGCATCCCATTAGCTCCACGGTGAGAGAACCCCCACTGTTAGGGTATTAAGAAAAGCTAGAAGATCTGGTCATCATCCCATCTCCCATATCCATTCGGGTCCTGAGTTGTTTAACTTCCTGGACCGGGAAGTTAAACAAGCCACCTCCTC